CTGCTATTGGTCCTTATCTTAAGGAAGACTGCCAGGTGTCTCTCGCCTATACCCCTCCTTCAGTCTGATTAGGGTTATCGCAAAAATTACCGGTTTGATTTGTAATATGTATTTTAATGTAAATCTATATCGAGAAAAAAACTGAAGTAGAATTTCTTGCTGAATCATATGCCTCACATTATGCTTAGATAGATTCTCTCTTCTAGGCCACGTGTCTGTTCAAGTGACCTGCCACGATGCTGATATTATGCTTGTACCCATGCAAGCACAAAAATAGAACTTGGCAAACGCCTCACGTCCTGGAGTTTTATTATTGTTATGATTGACAATTTTTTTTGGCTCTCGTCTTAACAGGAGTTCAACCAGTTTGAATTGGTGCTAAGATATTTTCCTTAGCTTTTGGCTAGACATGTAAACAATTTTAATGGAAATTTTCACTCTTTTTCTTTTTCTTTCTAGTTATATATGGTTTTATCTTGACACATTTACTGTGGCATATAATTTTGTTATTAGCGGTCAAGGAGAACCTCCGTGCAGTGTACCATGTTCTTCCTGTGTCTCTGTGACTGGAAATGGTTTTGGGTGATCAGCATTTTCCTTGTTAACTTTGCATATGTAAGGCATCTGTAGCGTTCGTACCTAAATCCCATGCGCTGTAGGTAAACAGGGCCTCTTTCTTCTCTCTCTTGCTGTAATTATCTATCTATCTCTCAACATCATATTCTTATATTTTCTTTCAATCAAACCGTCTCCGAGTATTGCGTGTGTACAGACATACAGAACCAAAAACAAAGACCGAGCGGATCACCTGTTCTGTTTTGGCTTTCGTGAGGTCTCAAAGCCCGCTCCTTCCAAGGGCTTATATATTTAGTCGTAATTATGGGCCGAAAGACGTGACAGGTGCCTTAGGGGGAAGGGGTGGGTGCAGGCAAGGTTCGGGGTAGAGGGGGGAGGTCAGCACAAGGCTCGGGGTAGAGCTGAAGGGGATATCTGCGTAGAAGCTTGTATCTGGGTTCACATGTTACGTTGTAAGGATGGCAACCAAGGAGACTCAAGGTGGAAAATGCGAATCAAGAGATACAGGGCGGAATAGATAGGTTATTTAAGAGAGGAGTGTAGAGGCTAATTTTATTTGGAGTAATTGAAGGCTGAATAGCAGATGGGTTTCGGTAATGAATATGTATAGCAAAATCGATATTTTCTCACTCGCTTGTAATTTTTCTCTTTACTTATACGGGCACTGACGTGTAGGGAAAAAAAGAGATCAGCCTGTTTCCATTACCTGCATGAGTATGTGTATGATTTACATTCCGTAACACACCCAGAAATTACATAAAAAGTGCTGACAAATAGAGGATAAAAGAAAACAAAAAAATCATCAACATGCATGTACACGTGTGAGAGGAGAGAGAAATGGGAATGGGTTCGAGGAAGGTTATGGCAGTAGGGGTAGGGAGAGGAGGAGGAAGAGGACTTGGTAAGGTGGGGTAACGAGAGTAGGGAGAGGATAGAGGGGTAAGGAAGAGGAGAAGGTCAGGGAGGTGAAGGTAGCGAGATTAGTGAGAGGAAAAAAGGGAGAGTGGAAATAGCGAGAGTAGAGAGGAGAGAGGAGAGGAGGAAGTAAGGGAGGTGGAAGTAGCGAGAGTAGGAAGAGAAAAGAGAAGTTAGAGAGAGGAGGAGGCCAGGGAGGTGGAGGTAGCGAGAGTAGGAAGAAAATGGTGGGGTTAGGAAGAGGAGGTCATGGGGTTCAGGAAGCGAGAGTAGGAAAAGGAAGGATGGGTTAGGGAGAGGAGAAGATCATAGAAGGTGGAAATAGCG